AACCAGCCACGATGAGTTGAAGCAACTAAACATACCAACCTTTGTTTGTATAACGGATGCCAACTCATGCCAACTCATATCGCCTATACTAATACTATCCCTCTGCACATTCAAGACGCCTCGAGTGGGTATACAGTATGTGGAGGTCACTCGCAGTATGGTGCAACAATATATGTTCTCCAGTCTGTCTCGTTTTGGATTACTGTATGTCAAAGGCATATTGTTTTTCTCTCTATCTCTGTCTCCCTCTCCTTCCTGCAGCTCCTACCTACCCGCCTGCCATGGTGCAGAGTCTGGATTTCTGGGATATTCATCCTTCACCCACCTGAGTGGACAGTCGGAAGGTGGAGCCAAAATGTCCAAATCAAGTTCCAAGGAGTGGCGCAGCACTCGGCCATCTCCACCCCCCAAACCCGCCCGAAAACGCGGCCCAACACCCGCGCTCTCCGGTCCCCTCTCCGATGACTTTTTGTTCCAAGCCACACGGAGCCAGCCCAGCAGGTCTTCCGCGGCTTTGGGCCACGGAAGCCCAAAGTCCTCAGAGCCTCCATGCGCTCTGCCAGGGTGTCTTCGTTCATGGCCTCGGGTGTCTTCAGTTCACGAGTTCGGGAAGCCTATTGGCATAGCGGCATCGCCGAGGGGCTGCCGGCGAACAAGTAGTGATGGCAATTGTTGCAATACGCAACAAGCAAATACTGAACATGATATTGATCTGTATTTGATGTGGTGGACAAAGTCAATCTTTGTGATTTCCATATGTTGCCACAATATGACGTAGACTTGGACTCAATTCAATGTGATAAAAGCACATAGCAAGCTAATTATAAGGTCTACGAGACCCTTGACCGGTTTTAGTAAGTTTGAGCTTTTTGCGCTATTGCTCTATGCCCCAACCATCGCAACCAAGCACAACATGCCAGGGCTTTAGTCGCCACTTCTGCCACCCGTGCCTCGGCAACTTCCTCCCAGGATGGAAGGGTCATGGTGCGCTTGGTCTGCGACGCTGTCCAAGGCTGGAATCCGTCGTTTTGAATCGCCCAACGAAATGAAAGCACCGGGTTGTCAAAAGTACTTCAAATGCGTCTCTCTCTCTCTCTCTCTCCGCGCATGTCCACAAAAACCAGAAAACACAAAAAATAATCGGAAAAAGCGATGGCCACAGCCAACTCCGACACACTTGGCTCATTTGGTCCTGGACCGTTGTTGCCCTCTTTAGGTGACCTTCTCTCAGCCAAGTCCAATACATCGACTGCCATCGCCTCAATGTTATCATCTGTACTTTCTAGCACGTCCAAACCCATGCCCACCAAACAAAGTATAACCCATTGGCTGACAAAGGTCAAGGGCAACAAATTATAGTTGTTAAATGTTGTAAAAGTATCCTTGAGCCGTTTCTCTCACTCAGTCTGGAAGTGATCTGACCCAAACAGAGACCGAACTGGCACTCGGCTGCACCACCGTCACCCCCGGAAGCGTTGCCCGAGACAAAGGGACCGCACCCCATGGCCCTTCCGCTCAGCCCTGCCGGCGACACGGTGGCCAGCACGCCGAAGACCATCCCGCGCGTGCCCAGGAGGCAATGCTGGCGGTGTGGCAACGCGACCACAGGAAAGAAGAAATGGATCTGGTGACCAAAACACGAGTATAAGATTATAACTATACTGAAGATCCCTGAATCAAGTCTGACAATTTCAGTTTCTGGCCGTGCCATGCCCATCTGGTTCAGTCTGACGCCACCTCCAAGCAAGTCTGGCATTATTTCATGTGGATGACATAAGGGCCGGTTGGAAAGCTTGCGTGTGTTGGATTTGGACCCCTGGAACTAACTAGGTTGTTGATTGCAAGTTGCAAGTGTCATCCGTGGGTGGTCCTTCCACTCAGATTCCTTCCACCCCAACTGTCACCCTAAAGCAAGGCTTACTTCAACCTTCGCTTCAGGGCCTAGGATGGCCTAGGGCAAAATGTGTAATCGCTTTCCCTTGGCCCTTTGAAAAGCCACCACTGACTCTGACACAGCCTGGCTTAATCTAATTATCTAAGGAAACAGTTGGCCGTGTGTCACGCTTCCTCACTGCCCGCCTGGTTGTTCCGTGCTTCCGCGAAAACGCATCGAATAATCAAATGGTGTCATGATTCGCACGGCGATTCGATCAGGTGCCGGGAGGGCTGTTTAAACAGTCCGACACATGGGACTTCTGCATAAATATCAATGATAGGAAGAGCCGACATGGAAGAATCAACAGCAAAGTCGCGCTAATGCTTGACCGGGTTAGGGTGCTCAGGTGCTCATGATAAGCTCTCTGTTGACATGGGCTCCTCCGGGAGGGCTGCAATGTACACAGGGTGACATGGGGTTAGTTCTGGTTGGACATATACCTCCTCCATGCTGGTGACGGCAATGCAAGGCAGCCAGATGGTGTTGGAAGAAAAGGTTTTGTTTTCTCTTTTCCGCCTAAAGACTTTCCATCAGCCGATCCCCACACCGCGCCAGCAAGTACTTTAGAAGATCTGGTTGGCGATTCTCCAGGCGGTTCATCTGTGACAGCCTGGGTTGTCGCCAAAAGAAACACCAAGGACAGTAAAATACAGCTACCCAAACCTATCCTAGACATTCCTGGACTGAGTAGCTGCGAGTCCGGTCCGCTGAACCAGCTGGTTAAAGCCTGGATACCTCGTTTCGCAAGATCCTAGCAGCCTTTGCAGTGCGTTCTCCTATCAAATGTCAAAGCTACCCCTGCCTCTTCATCAGAAAGGGTTTTATCAGGTGGAGAGGCAATCCAAATCCAGGTGCAAGCCGACATGTCACTACTCCAGCAGCAAAGTTCAATTACACTGCCTGAAACAATCATGGAAGTGGACGGTGGCCCCTTGGAAGACTATTTTCCTCTACCAAGAGGGGGTTGTCCACTTCCATGATTGTTGCAGGGAGGGTAAGCAATCCAAGAAACGTCAGCAAAGGCGCGATCATCACATTCCAAAGCGTCCTGCAACGCTTCTCCTCAGTGGCAGGTGGTGGTAAACCTCTGAGTGTATTTCAGGGATTCTGTGGGCATCTCTGGGCCTGGATGTGCTTTCTGAAAGCATTGGGCTGGGTACTGGACATCAATCACACACTGGTGCCACGGGGATCCCTGTTTCGTACAGCGGCAAGGTATAGCGGTATAGACAGCTTGATATCCAATCGTTGCATGGCTTCAAGTACAGTTTTTTCTTGGTCTGTCCCTGTCACTGCCAGGACACCACAGGCTTCAGCTTGGAAGCATCACCCTCGGCCATCATCAACGCCTGCGCACCAAGCACTCCACCAGACACTGCCATACACTGCCCCAACTACCGCCCCACTTCACTGACCACAGACCTATTTAACATGAACCGACTGGTGATGGGACTCTTCGCTTCACTTGTGACGTCCCGGTGATACTCGAACCGCACGGCACTGTCCCTCCTCGATGCCGTGGACCCGATCGCCTGCCTCGGCGCCATCGACGGCCCGGATCGCGGATCGACATCGACGTGAGGTGATTGGTCTTTGAAAACTCACAGTCTCCTTGTCTCACCAAAGCCTCTTGGGCTTTGAGCGAACATGTGGATCCAACTCAGCACGTCCAGAACCTGCACCATCTGGGTCCTTTCACCAGCTCCCCATCTAGAACATTCTAGAACCAAGACGCTGGGAGAAGAATCTGCTCGTTCAGTCTCAAGCGATCCCCTTGATTCACCTGGCGCAACGCTGCCCAAGTGCGCCAGCAGAAGGCCGGGTGTCTGAATTCACGAGATGCATCGTCATGTGTCAGAATAGAATACAATAGCATTGTTGACATCATCTTCTCAGGTGGTCATTGGTTGTATACTTATAATTCTAATATAGTTAGTTTAGTTTTTCTCGGGTCCGGTGTGTATATAGTTGCGGTCAAGTTGACGCGGAGGCATTTACTCTTCCATCGTCTGATCGATCTGAGAAACTTGACCCACCCAGTTCACGAATCAACGTTATTGCTCACGGCGGATGGTCAAGATCTCCAAGCACACCTTCAAACCAATCACGTGTCAAACCAATCACGCCCTATTTTGGGGGGACACCATCTTTTGGACCAAAGGAACTGTACTATGTTGTCCCGGACGTCCCTGCATTCATAGCTGTGCGTAGCATTGTGCAGCCTCTACAAGAACATATGATTGAGTGGTGTCTAGCAGGCTTAGTGTCGGGGGTTGGAATCAGGGATGATGGGTTGGAAGGCATCTGAGGGAATGGAGTTCACCCAAGCCACTCGCCCTGGGCCAAAACAAATCCTTTGTCACCAGCAAAACACTCGCTGTGTGCCAGTCTTTTGTTCTCCCTGCATCTTTGGTTCTCGGCTGTTTGTCGCGGGGAAATCGAACCTGACATGCAAACTACTACCGATTCTCTGCACACAACTTTGATCCTTTTATACTGATTCTCTGCCGCCCTCATTGGGAAGACCACAACATGAGGTTGTCGTTCAGCAGCTGCATGGTGATCACTGAATCCTCAGTACTCAACATGTGGTTCTGGTTGCTTTCGAAGGGCACCGTGTATCGAACTCTGGCGAAGTGATTGGCATGGCTCTGGCAAGCTATTGTGGCAAGTCTACATGGTGTTGACACTTTATGTTTAACCATGTAAAGCATGCTTGGCCTTTGGGGTAAACTGGACTGCGCCATTGATATTTACATTGACTTATGGTATCTGAATCTGATGTCTGTGGAATGTTTTTTTTTTTTTTTGCGTTTGGGTCTTACAAAACACATTTGCGATGTCAGTCTGAGGAGCTGGGTGCAATATAATATGCACTGAACTAGTGCACATAATGAACCAATCCTTCATCTAGACTCTTCTCTGACAAGTAGAAAGTGCAACGACTACCACCTGCCCATTTTTGAAGGGTTCATTAGATCATCTGACCACACCTCCCCAACACATGTGCGAACCAGCAAGCCCGAAGCAATGCTGGATCATCCCGTCGTTTCTGGACAAAACATTATATCAAACCATCCTCAATTTCAATGGACTGTGGCACAAAGGCGCGAACACTGGACAATGACCATGACCATGTCGTTTGTTCTATCCATTTGGGCATGGTCATGCTATCCATCAGTCCACCTGTGTCACTGGATAGCTTCCGGGGTGACACCTCTCCTTCCCTCCGCCGCGCGTCATTGCGCGACTCTTCAGGGATGTCCTCAATGCCGGCGCTGGCCGCGTTGAGCGCTTCGGTGGCCGTCGCCACAGCACTGTCCGTGTCCTGCGGCGGACACGGAGGAATTCTTCGTTGTTTTCTGTTTCTCTCCCCCTCCCTCTATCGCCTTTGAACACACATGATCATATTTGACCCCACATCAGAGGTATCTGTTATCTGGGTTCATCTCACCCACATGCATGCGGCAAGCTTTACCTCTGTCATAGCGCCAGTCCTTCAGCACCTCGTGTAAGAACACTGAGAAGTTCAAAGCCAGGCCAAGTCTCACCTGATGTTTTGGATGATCACACGCACATGTATGATAACTGGGGCTATATACATATATATATGTATATATGATATACAGTATATACATAAACATCCATGTTACCAGTTATATATATATATACATCCAGTTATGTTCTATATGTTTATGTTATATAACACATTTGTATGATAACTGGGGCCATTAGAGCGGCCCTCAAACAAAGAAACCGAGGATGCCTTGGCCGGATGCGCCCGGTCGCTACAAAAAAAACGCCTACTTAGAGCCATACCTAAAGTAGGCTTCCCCCAATCGCAGCCCAGCGGAGTTTTGAAAATGACTTGCGGTGGAACTGGCAGCGAACGAAGCAGGACGCGCCAGGCTGCCGGATGCGCCGTTGGGAGTGACATCGCCTCGCCCATGCCTGGAGAAACGCCGAAAAAGCAAAGCGGAGAGGTGTTGACATCGGTCGACGGAGCGAGCTGGCGCGCCCTTCGCTACGAGTCGGGTGGAGGCCATCGCTCTCAGGTGGAGGCCATCGCTACTTGCGAAACAATGAGACTATGGAGGTTGTTCTCGGTCTATGGAGCGCCCTGCGCGTCCTATGTAGGTAGCGCAGATGTAGCGCCCCAACCGTTCAATGTCACACATCCATGGCGCCCGCCTTGCTTGTACACGTTCATGGCCTGGCGGAGTCAAACTGTACTTTCGTACCTTGAAGATGATGGGTGACTAAGAGGCCCCATGCAGTGGTCTAGTATAGTACAAGGTCAAAAGCTTCATCCAATCCAACAAGAGTTGTCATCGGCCATCAATTTTCAACCAAACCTAAAAGTCAACCTGGCTCACTCGGGTCAACTGTTCAGTGGGTCGAGGGTGACCAGAGTGATTCAGAATACATCTGGCAAGTGCTGCACACCCTGGAAGAAGCATCTGTGAACAATCCATAACAATCCACATCCCAGCGAGCAATCATCTATCTGCAACAACTGGATACTCACTTTTGCATGGCCATATTTGTAATCTGCATGTCTTAGCCAGATCTGCCGGACTGGCTGCGAATGGAACACAAGCCGACGCTCAGATTGCTGTCTTGAGCAGTCTTTCACAGAAAGTCTGACAAAAAAAAATGTAGAATGGATGGGGTGCCAATCCTCTGGGTAGTTCTTTCGAAAAACCTAAAGCCAAAGACATGATCAATCAAACAAGCCAGTGTCCTTAGGTCCTTTTCTGTCTTCCCGAGTTTCTTTGGATCCTTCAGGATCCTTCATGATCCTTCATACCCTCGGTTCAGAGGCTTCGCCTGTCCGGCCACTTCACTCTTGGCTGGCCCGGTGGTCCATTCCGCCAAGTAGCCTCAATCTGCGGAAGTCACCGCCGAGTCAGGACCCTATGAGGACCCTATTCACCTATCGATCCCTGTGACAACAAACAGGGGGAACCACCAATGTAAGCCGATAAGCCACTATTAGACACTATCACAGGGAGTCGCCAGTGGGATCAGTGTACCTGGAGGGCCACCTATCTGTAGCAAAGGTCTTCCACTGCAGTCACTTCAGCTTCTCTACAGTTCACTTTGCAGATTCTCAAAGAAAGCGAACCTGGCAGCGCATCCGAGTGGCGATAGTAATCCTCAGGCGAGCAGCTCTGCAATGACAAACAAAAGAAAACCAAACGCCATAGACGTAATTGGTGCTGATCACATAATATCTATAGCTGTATTAAAGCCTCTTTGTCACCTTTCGTGGGCTGGCAAGAGTTGTGATTGTGCGTTTTCCTGTCATGGGCCTCCCATTCCATGTCTAAATGGGTCTATGCCACACCGACCCAGCAAAAATAAAACTGAAACCACCCAGAGAATTACATTCTGCTTGGTGAATCATTGGTGAAGGTCATAATACTGAACCAACATAGACAGAACAAAGTACATCCTGTATATTGGAAACAGTTTCATCTGGTTGGCGACCACTACAGGGCCAATTGGTGAAGTCCGGCGTTAAACCTGGACTGCTACTCGGACTGTAATGCCAAAAGGGCCTTTTTAGTTATTTAACTAAAACAAACATAACTATATATATACCTATCCACATTATTTTCCGCTTTAAATAGAGCTATTCTCCAGAAGTCGGTGGGTAAGCAAAGTGAATTCCCAACATTTCCCCCTGAACAAACAGTGTTCTCCCCTTTCCTCTTCCTTCTTCTTGTCCGTTTCTGTCCTTTTTTACTTGCCCGTATGTTCCTGTCTTTATATATTGTTTGTTCAAGAACTGTGCACTTTGAAGAAGGACTTTTGATATCTCGAAAATTGTTGTTTGCCTAGAACAAAAGCGGCCTTTAAGCTACTAAGAACAACAGTTTGAGAAGCATGTTGGCATTGGCTATTATTGAAATTCCGATGGGTTCATGTATATATATATATATAGTTATATATAATTACGCAATTAAAACAAATCCATCCATGGATGTTGTGACCTTTAAAGTAAGGGCAGGCCTCACCAAGAGGCACCTGGACGCTCTATGGAGGGGTTGGCACTAGACACCGGCCAAAAGCATGCTGCACGTAGCAGTCGTATATCAAGTCATCTTCCTGGACATAGACCCATGCAGCACCCGGTCAAACAAGCAGGGCCAAAAACTCAAGTCTGGACAACCTTCCGCCACCTGGGCCCCCTCAAATCTCAAAGTCAGGCAACGCGGAAGAACAAGTGCCCCGCAATTTTCTGACCTGGACAAAAGAGATCCCCTAGCAAATCTTCACAGTAAAATGTCCTTACATTTGGGGTGGGAATCAGACATTTAAGGCATGATAAGAACATCCGGTCTGCGGGTCCGCTTTAGCCCAAGCTTGGCGGGTCGAGGCGCCCCTTGCATCTTCAGGAAGAAGGTCTTCGCCTCTCCTGGCTCTGCAGAGGAGACCAAGCTCCCGAGCAAGGCCAAGGCGTTGGAACAAATCTCTTGAAGCTCCGCCTGCGAAGGCAGTGGCGACACAGGCGACATGGGAGAAACCGGCGAAGCCGGAGGAAAGCCTGGAGTGATGAGGACGTGGGTCTGGAATGGTCTTGGTATGCTTGGAGGAAGCGTGTGAGAAGAAATGAGCCTAATTACAAGGGCTGACCACACTGGCTGCAGTCTGCTATGTTGAGTCAAGAACTACATTTTAGTCTGACTCAACACAGCAGACTGCAGCCAGCGTGGACGGCCTAAATCCAATGCAGTCTGGCACAAAGCCTCCATCTTTGAACGGTAGCCCCCTGCCAAGGATGCATAGGCATCTCGTCCTAACAGCGCACAAGGGGCACGTAAACAAACAACTCTGTCGAAGACCAAACTTGTACTAATCCTACCATGTCTATGTCCTACTTCATTGTAACACAAAGCCTTGTCTGTAACAATAATAGGCTAGTCTAACATGCCCATGTGCTGCTGCTGCTGCTGCTGCTGCTAATTTTTTGGAGTATACAGTATATTTTATCGCTGCAACCTGATGCTCCTACTCTGGGTTCAAGTTCAAACTTTGTGCTTGTCTTCTAAGGTCCTTCGGCTTGTTCCATCTGTTCCACACCAGCCGCCACCCGCACCGCATGGCGGCGTTCGGTCAAGGAGTTCTTGAAGGCTGCAGAGAACATGTCGCGCTCCTCACCGTGAACAGTTGGCATGGCAATCATGGCGAGGGTCATCTTGAAACCAGGATTGAACTGAAACAACCGTGGGTCCTCCAGGCCCTTCAAAAATTGGTAATTATCTGAGTATCAACGCATTGGTTGATGGTGAGGCCTAATCACAAAAGTCGCACTAGAGTCAAGCTCAACAAGGTCTTCTTTCTCCGCTGAGAATCATCCCAAACCCGTTCCTTTCGTTAATACGCTCGAATACATAACACGACTCTTCCTGAATGGACTTACCTTGAAACGCCCCTATTCAGGCACCTTGCTACTAGTAACAAGAACTAGTAGCAAGGTGCCTTGCTACTAGTAGCTTCTTGCTACCACAAGACTTCACAGCACGATTTTAGGGGTAGCTTCCCACGTGCTAGCTAGCTTTGACCATGCCCCAGCTCTCTATCCTAGCCCCCTCCCCACACTTTCACCATCATAACAGAACCACCTCAACAATACAACAAAAAAAACAGAATTTCAGAACAACATCAACAAAACATCACACAAAATCTCACACATAACAACAAAACAGAACAACATCAGAACATCCCTACCCCACCTCCTCACCTCATTCATTCATCAAAAACATCTAAACAATTTCACCTAGATTTTAGAAAGTAATTTAGGTGAAATGGTTTTTACCGACCGTCCCCGTTTTGCTTCGGGGACATCATGGACATCTTTGAAAAGGTGCACCTGACCTGTTTTTGGGTCTGCATAGCATCAGATGTGAATTTCAGATGTGAGTGTGTGCAACTGCACTTCTATCTTTGGAACAGAAATCCTTTTGGTAGCAATTCATAAGGGCTCAAGCAAAGAAAGCTGAAAGTCTGTGGTGCTCTACTCAATGTCGACCACTTACTATGTTCTCGTGGTGGACCCCCATGATAGAGATGTGGATGAATTGGAGATGCTTCTATCGACCACCTTGCAGGAGCTTGCTGAACATTTTGGGTGCAACACGGAGACATGTCAGTTCAGGATGAAAATCAAGATTGGGCAGGGTTCTGATGAAAGTGAGGCAGGTGAAGATGCTGAAACCTATGCTCCCTCGTCACATGGCACAGGTGACACTATTGAGAGCATTGAGAGTATGCTGGAGCGCCTGAGTAATCATCCTGCTGTTCAGGAGTTTGACCGTGAGATGTCGCGGTTTCTTGTCCCGAGTGCAAAGGCGAAATCCAAGAGCAAAGCCAAAGCAAAGGCTGTTGCATATCCAGTTTCAGGTGAACCGGACGCAGAGCCGACTGCAATGAAGTGGACTTTGAACATTGAAGACCGCACCAAGGACACCATTGTCCAGAAGGAGCTGAAAGATGTTGAGCCCACTTGGACTGTGGCAAAGCTTCGTGACACCATTGTAGAGTTCTTGGGAATTGACAAGAGTGATGCAAAGAGGCTCAAGATGGAGCGAGTGGAGACCAATGACTACCTCCTGAATACCAGAAAGGCTGTGAAGACGGTGTTGGTAGATGGTGATACTTTGAAAATCACCATTGGTGGACGCGGTGGAGCAAAGAAGCCAGTGAAGAAGGATGAGCGTATTGCCACCAGCAAAGTTCAGTGCTTGGCAAAGGCACAAACACTCACTTCGGCCGCCGGTGGTTCTTCCTTCAACCCTCGTGTGTATGAAGGTTGCTTCAATACCTTGATGAACGACGACACCTTCATCAAGACCAGCATTGCCAAGATGACTGAGCCGACCATCAGGGACTTGCTGACAAAGATGCTTGTGACACAGTCAGACGGCACAACAAAATTGATGCCATTGCGTGAAGTCAATATCTTGAAGTTGGCGCCGTTCTTTGTGCCTGAGGTGAGCGACTTGCATAAAATCAAGGAGGGTGCGACTTCTACCATTGAGACCCTTGAGAAGGCATTCATGCACAATTTGACCCTGACCTTTTACGTGGAAGGCAAAGAGAAGAATGACTATTCTTCTTTGATTGAGATGCTGAAGCTCCGTGCTCATGAGTTCACCCTTCCATCTGCACAGCCACAGGGTGGACATCAGCCAATGGAAGGCTGAATGTATCAAAGGATGGAGTGGACCCACTGTGCCCTGCAGGTTTTGGGAAAATACCCACCCGGTATTTGGAAAATACCAACCCGGTATTTGGAAAATACCCACCCGGTATTTGGAAAATACCCACCCGGTATTTGGAAAATACCCACTCTAACACGATGGGCTTACGTGGGGTCAATCCTTGGCATGTAAGTCATGGCGATGTGCAGACCTGCCATGCATTACCATACCCAATACAGCGACGCCAAAACATGCTACATGCTTAATGCTTCATGTGCCTGTCGATGTGTGTCAGTTGCACTTTGAGACACTACTCTTCGCTGTTGAGTTTTTCCGCTTTGTGATTTTTGCTTGCCCTTCTGCAGTTCCACTTTTACTCAATGCTCATCTATGGCAGGTTTAGAAGACATGACCGAAGAGCTCTATGAGAAGGGGTGGGAGAACTTTGAAGGGTTAAAGTGGAGAAGAGTTCCATGTAAAACCGCAATTGGACATGAGTTAGTCAATCACTTTTTTGAGAAGCCTTTAAAGGCTAAAGTGGAGAAGGGTTCCATGTGAACAGTCTGAACTGGAGAGTTTCCCAACCCCTTTTTAGATATATAAATATGTAAATCAACTAATTCCATATATATATATATATATATATATTTCCCTTTTACCTTGCGTTCACCCCCCTGTTTGGCCAGAAGGTCCGACATCTCCAAGTTCGTGGGGAACTGGGGGAATGGGAAGAGAGAGAGAGAGAGAGAGAGTGACAGAGAAGACAGAGGAGAAGGTAAAAAGGTAAAAAGGAAAATTTTATTTTTAGGAAGATGAGGGGGGCAATGGCACTGGAAGGGGGAGCGAGGCGCCTAGCTACACAAGCATATCCCAACCAGTGACCAACCCCTTGTAGGGTATTAAATTGAAGGGACTAAGTAACATCCCCAGAGGCAGATGAGGGGGTTAAGTGTCTGCTTTTTTTTGGGCAGGGACTTGACCCCCTTGTTGAGCCTATAGGACTGAACCCCAAATCTTAAGGTCCCTGATTGGTGGCTAGGTTCATTCTTTACCTGTCTTTTTGAACCTTGGAATGGACCACCCCACCAATCCCCCCCGTATGGGTTTTGGGGAAGTGGCAGGTGCAGTTAATAAGTGAAGATTTTGTGGCATGAGTGGCAGGCACAGGGATTTCGCTTGTGAAGATTTTGTGGCGTGAGTGGCAGGTGCAAGATTTGAAGTGAAGATTTCATGGCAGACTATGATGATGATGAGATGATGATGTCTAGTATCAACTCTGTTGGAATTCTGTATAGCTCATTTTGTTTGAAAAGTGTGTAGTTTTCAGGCCATGATTCTTTTTTATTGCTGGGTGCTCTTTGTGCTGTTTCTTTGTGTCTGTTATTCACAATTTGCCCGCAATCCTTTTTGCACAAACTTTTAGGTTTCCAGTTTTGGAGGTTATGCCATAACCTCGTTCTTTTTCTGTAAGACATGCCATACTTACAATAGTCAATATCAGTGTATGAAAACTCGTTCATAAATGGTTGTTTCTTCAAAAGCCCTGTTTGGGGGTTTTCTATCACAAAGTATTTAGGTTCAAAATATTTTATTATCTCAATAGTTTTGAGGACAATTTTGTTTGCTTCATCAATTTTTCTGACACCCGTTGTTTTCGCACGGCTGTATTCCGTACATGGTGGAGATGCCCAGACGAAATCGAAGTCTTTGTCAAACTGTTTATAGTCCCATTCCAAAATGTCACAATTCAAGTCAGCACCTTTCAAATCCAATGAGATAACAGAATGGCCCAATTGTTTAGCAACTCTACCAACAGAACCCGTGCCTGAAAATAGTTCTAATACTTTCATATATTATTAGAACTATTTAGATATTATGTTTAACATATTTTCTTGATGTTTCTTTGTTCTCTCATGCTCTGCCTTTCCATCCGTTCTAACAACAGAACCGCAACAACGACACTCATATTTCCGCTCTCTCCTTTTTTGTAAGACTGCTTCGCTTTTACCCCTTATTCTATCATTTTCTCTTCTTACTTCTTTGTTGTCCTCACAATACTGTTCCCATGTCCTACCTGCTATATACTTGTTTAAATCAGACTTGTGTTGTTTAATTAACTCACCTTCTCTTCTCCGCAGTTCCTCTTGTGTATTACAACTGAAATATTCAATCAGTTCAATGAAGAAATTGTCTATTCCAAGTTCATTCATTGTTCTGTATATTTGGTATTTGTTGGCACGTGGGTTTCTTGTTGCTTTCCGATGCTGAGCCATTCTTTGACTTAGCAACTGTGTTGTGCTTCCGATGTATGTGCTTTCATTCACCGTGTTTCTTATAATGTAGATTTTACCGTTGGCATAGGTTTTGGCATTTCGGTCTTTGGTCATTGTTGTTTTATATTGTTTATTGTTGTTTTCTCTTTAAACCATTTAGTCATCGGGCCAGAGGTAGTATTTGTCATGTTTGTCTTTCGCAATCTTGTAGAACTCCAGAGTTTTTTCTTTAGGTTGTTTGATTTTGCCTTTGTTCAACATGTCCAGATACTGTTTTTGTTTGCTCTCAAAACTTCCAGCCGGTCTACCGATGCCCTTTTGCTCAAAGGCTTTGTTGATTTTTTCTTTATCTTCATCCACTTTTACTTCATCCACTTTCACTTTGACCATCTTTTGTTTAATCTCATACACGTCTTCCTGTATCATCTTCATGACCTTCAGCATCATCTGAACTTTTGACCAAATCTTTTCAGTCAAATCTCTCTTTTCTTTGTTGCTTTCAGTTGTTCCATCAGAAACTTCTACCATATAAATTACTATAGATTTTTTACATATTTATTTAATTATTTATTAATCCATATCGTCCATGTGTTTATGACTGCTTCTCGGTGTATTGATTACATCACTTATCATTTTGTTTCTGGTTTCTTCATCATTGTTGGGTGGTGTGACCTGCTTAT